GTATCTCCCTCGAGGATCAGGATGGGGTTTGACACTCCTGCTTCTGTAAACTTTGAACAGACCTATAGGACCCCGTTCCAAAGACCAGCAATCTCTCGGAAGCTTGCCTTCAGGAAGTTTTTCACCCCTGACCGACAGCCCCCGGCCCCGCCTTCCATGGAACAGCCCGCTGTACGGCACGGGCCCCAAGATGGCGGCCCCCACGGCGGAAGGGCCCCGGCGCAGCCATGCTCCTCGCCCGGCGCCGCGGCTCCGGGACAAAGTCTCTGCAGCCCCATAAGCGCACCTTGTTCAGAGTGAGTAGACCGCAGCCTCACAGCTCTTGTGTGATCGTGTGCGAAATCAACAGCCCCAGAAGGGGCAAGAGGTGAGGACAGGAAACGGAAGTGGCCCTCGGAGGCTGTTTTAAGTCTTGTTGGCGGGCGCCGCTAAAGCGGGTGCATGAGGGTTTGTGGCGTGACAGTCATCAGTGGGTTTTGAGGTGATGGCTTTGTTGGCTTTTGAGAATGACAGACTGTCAGTTTGTGGGATCAGTTGGTGGAGAAGTAGAGAATCTGGTGAATGGGAATATATGCGAGTCACGGATCCAGGCTTCTGAGGGAGTCAGTTTTTAGATTCCTTGCTGCGTCTTGTCAAGTCCTAATAGTGTGTGCTTTTAGATTTTTCCCTCAGTCGCCCCAGAGATTTGCTAATTTTATTAGCCTTTCCAAAGAATCAACTTTTGGGCTTGTTGATCCATTCTGATGTCCCTTTGTTTTCTATTTCCTTAATTTCTGCTATCTGTACTATTGTCTCTTTATCTAACTTCTTAAATTGGATGTCAATTCTTAATGTTCAGCCTTTCTTTGTTAAAAAAAATTTAAGAACATGAATTTCCCCTTAAGAATCTCTTTAGCTGCATTCCACAAAATTTTATATACACCGTATTATTATTATTGAGCCTTGTATTTAGTTTTTCTTTTTTATTTATTCTTTACATTACTTTACTATAATGATTTTGGGAGGGTTGACATTTTTCTAAAATCTTTTTATCCAGGGATATGGTATGTCTGTGTGACTATTTTAGATTTGTCAGTTCTTAAAAACTTTTAAAACTGTATAGGTGCAGCTCCTTCAAAAAGTTCATTTTACATATTCTATATTTTTCTTGCTGTCATTACGAATGGATTTTTTTCTGTTTTCATTTGATCATTGTTATTACAGAGGGAAAAAAACTATCCGCTCTTATAATATTATCTTGTATCCAGCCCCTTATCAAATTACCCAATGAATTCTGGTAGAGTCTGGTAGCTTTTCTCTGTGTAAAAGCATATCACTACCAAAGAAAGCTACATTTTCACTTCTTTGCAATATTTATTCTGATTATTTCATCTTCTATTGTGTGAGCTGCAGCCAGAAAAACAATGCTGAGTTGGATCAGACATCCCTATCTTTTTATTGATTTTAATGGCCATTGCTTCATCATTTTACTTTTTAGCATAGTATTTCAGGGCTATGTGTTTTGTAAATGATTTTTGTGATATTTAAGTGATTTAATTCTAACTCATTTTAATTTGAGTTTTTATTAGGAATGACTGCTGAATTGTGTCAAATGCTTTTTTTTGGTGTTAGGTTAAAAGCAGCATGTTTCCTACCCCCTCATATTATTAATGTTGCATCGTCTGGAAAGAAGAGGCTGAGAGCTTCCCTGTAGAAGAATTTAAGAGGGATTTTTCACCCTAAAGTGGCAAAATAGTTCAATTGGGCAGAAGAGCTCCCTTTCCTTCAGATTACCAGGTTTCCAGGTTTTCTGCCTCCACCGTCACCCACCAGGGATCCCATGGACAAGTCCTTCCCCTGCCTACCCCATGGGACTTCAGCACCATTCACTGCCTCAGTTCCACCCTCTCCCTCTCCCCAAACCCAGATCTGCCTTGAACCTAGAATTGAGGGATGGGCTGGCTGTGTAAAGTGTGAAGCACTCCCTGTGGAGCCACCAAAGAATGAGACTCTGAGCTCATTAATTTGACTCCAAATCTTATGATTGTTTCCATAGTCCACCCTGACTAATACTCAAGTGAGAGTTGCTGAACTCTGCGGGGTGAATGTGCAATGACACTGATGACATGGATACTGTCCTTTTAAGACTTGGTGTCTCTGTGGAGCTGCTGACTTTTCCCCTTATTGGAGGCTGCAGGATCTTCCATTCAGTCTGACTGCAGCCCACATACAGAGGCCTCTCCAGCTTTGGAAGGTGGGCTGATACCCAGAGTGAACATGCCAGCTAATGGGAAATCACCCCAGAGGTTTCCTGCCCTGGTTCCAGGACAACCTGGCAGATCATTTGAGGTAAGGAGGAGGAGCCTACTTTCCCCCCCTATTTTTCTTTCTTTTATTTTTTTAGACAAACTTCAGTTTTGAGATAATTGTAGATTCAAATGCAATGTATTCTTTACCCAGTTTCCCCCATTGTAACATCTTGAAAAATCTCGGTACAATATCACAGCCAGGAGATTGACATACAGAACATTTCCATCCCCACAAGGATTGCTCAGTGTTGCCCTTTAATAGCCACTTCCCTCCTCCCACTCTCCCTCCTTAACCCCTGGCAACCAATAATCTGTGCCCCAATCCTATAATTTTGTCATTTCAAGAATGTTACATAAATAGAACATACAGTAACCTTTTGGGACTGGCTTTTTTACTTGGCATAATTCGCTGGAGGTTCATCCAGATTGTTGCATATATGAATAATTTCTTCCTTTTTATTGCTGACTAGTATTCCATGGTATGGCTTTACCAGTTTGCTTAACCAGTTACTGGTTGAAGGACATCTTGGTTGTTTCCAGTTTTTGGCTGTTATGAATAAGGATGCTATGATTGTGTAAGATTTTTGTGTGGGATGAATGCACATGAGTGCATTTGCTGGATTGTATGCAAAGAGCATTAAAACAATCAAGTGATTTAATGTTTTAGTACAGTTTTAGATTTACAGAATAATTGAGAAGATATGGTTTCATATACCATTCTGGGCACCACCCCCCTCCTCTGGCACACAGTTTCCCCTATTGTTAATATGTTGTATTAGTGTGGTTCATTTGTTGCAATTAGCCGATATTGATTATTGGCTATTAATTATAGTTGACAGTTTAGAGTAGGGCTCACTTTTTGTGTCTCATATTCTGTGGGTTTTGACAAATGCATCATGACATATATCCATCATGCCAACCTGTTTCATCTGTGCTTTAGCTGTTCATCCGTCCTCTCCCTCTGCCTGAAACTCTGGCATCCACTGATTTTTTAAAAGTATCTCTTAGTTTTGCTTCTTCTAAAATGTCAAGTGGTAGAGCGCTTGCTTAGCATGCATGAGGTCCTGGGTTCAATCTCCAGTAGCTCCTCTAAAAATAAATAAACTAGTTACCTCCCCCCAACCAAAATAAAATAATTAAATAAAATGTCGTATATGGAATCATATGGTCTGTGGTCTTTTCAGATTGACTTTTTTCAGTTAGCAATTTGCACTCAAGTTTCCTCCATGTCTTTTCATGGCTCGATAGCTCATTTATTTTTATCACTGAATAATATTCCACTGTCTGGCTGTACCACAGTTTGCTTATCCATTCACCTATTGAAGGACATCTTATGAATAAAGCTGCTGTAAACATTTATGTCCAGGTTTTTGTGAGGACATAGTTTTCGATTCATTTGGGTAAATAACTAGGAGTGTAATTGCTGGGTCATGTGGTAAGACTGGCTAACTTTATAAGAAACTGCCAGACTGTCTTCCAGACTTTTTCACCATTTTTCATTCTCACCAGCAATGAATGAACGTTCTTCTTGTATCATATCCTCACCAGCATTTGGTATTGTCAGTTTTTTGGATTTTAGCCATTTTATTAATTGTGTTTTGGTATCTTATTATTATTTTAACTTGCAATTCCCTAATGAAAAATGATGTTGTATATGGTTTTACATGCTTATTTGCCATCTGTATATCTTCTCTGATCAAGTGTCTAGTCAGATCTTTTGCCCATTTTTTGATGTGGCTTGTTGTTTTCTTATTGTTGATTTTTAAGAGTTCTTTGTATATTTTATTTTATTTTATTTTATTTTATTTTTCTTTGTATATTTTAAATACAAGTTCTTTATCAAGTATGGGTTTTGCAAGTATTTTTCCCATTCTGTGGCTTTCACAGGGCAGAATTTTAAAATTTTAATGAAGTCCAACTTGTCAAGTTTTCTTTCATGTAATGTACTTTCGGTGTTATATTTGAAAACGTTGCTAAACCCAGAGTCACTTAAATTGTCTCCTGTTATTGGCAGAAGTTTTATACTTTTGCATTTTACATATAGGTCTAACATCCATTTAGAATTAATTTTCATAGAAGTTGTAAGGACTGCGTCTAGAAGTATTGTTTTTTGCATATGGATATTCAATTAGTTTCAGCACCATTTGTTGAAAAGGCTGTCCTTTCGCCGTTGATTTGCCTTTGCTGCTTTGTCAAAGATCAGTTGTCTGTATTTCCCTGGGTCTGTTTCCTGGCTCTCTATTTGTCCCATTGTCTATTTTTACCAATACCATACTTTTATTTATTGTTTTTTAAATTGAGATATAGTTGACTTACAATATTATATTAGTTTCAAGTATACAACATGATTCGGTATTTGTATATACTGTGAAATGACCACTGAGATAAGCCTAGGTGACGTCCATCACCATACATAGTTACGGGGTTTTTTTTTCTTGTGATGAGAACTTTTAAGATTTATTCTCTTAGCAACTTTCAAATATGCAATACAATATCATTAACTATAGTCATCATGCTGTAGATTACATTCCCATGACTTATTTATTTTATAACTGGAAATTTGTACCTTTTGGCCCCTTTCATGCATTTTACCCACTCCCCACCTCCTACCTCTGGCAACCACCAATCTGTTCTTTGTATCTGTGAGCTTGTTATTTTGTTTGTTTTATTTTGTTTTAGATCCCACATATAAGTGAGATCATATAGTATTTGTCTTTCTCTGTCTGACTTATTTCACTTAGCATAATGCCCTCAAGGTCCATCCAAGTTGTTGCAAACAGCAGAATGTCCTTCTTACTCATGGCTGAATAATATTCCATTACGTACACACACACACACACACACACACACATATATATGTATATACACATACATACATACATATATCACATTTTCTTTATCCATTCATCAGTTGGATGGACATTTAGGTTGTTTCTGCTTCTTGGCTGTTGTAAATCATGCTGCAGTGAACATGGGGGTGCATATATCTTTTCGGGTTAGTGTTTTCATTTTCTTCAGACAAATACCCAGAAGTGAAGTTGCTGGATCATATGGTAGTTCTATTTTTAATTTTTTGAGGAACCTTCATACTGTTTTGCGTAGTGGCTGTCCCAATTTACATTCCCACAGTGCACAAGGGTTCCTTTGTCTCCACATCCTCACCAACACTTGTTATTTGTTGTCTTCTTGATAACAGCCATCCTAACAGGTATAAGGTGATATCTCACTCTGATTCTGATTTGCATTTCACTAATGATTAGTGATGTAGAGCATCTTTTCATGTACAACAGGACATCAGGCCAACAGGCCATCTGTATATCTTGTCTGGAAAAATATCTGTTCAGATCCTGTGTCCATTTTTTAATTGGATTTTTTTTGGCAATTGGGTTGTATGAGTTCTTTATATATTTTAGATATTAACCCCTTATCAGACATATGATTTGCAGATATTTTCTCCCATTCAGTAGGTTGCCTTTTCATTTTGTTGATGGTTTCCTTTGCTGTGCAGAAGCATTTTAATTTAATGTAGTCCCACTTGTTTATTTTTGCTTTGGTTGCCTTTACTTTTGGTGTCAGATCCAAAAAAATCATCACCAAGACTGATGTCAAGGAGCTTACCCCCTATGCTTTCTAGAAGTTTTATGGTTTCAGGTCTTACGTTCAAATCTTTAATCCCTTTTGAGTTAATTTTTTATATGGTGTAAGATAGTGGTCCAGTTTCATTTTTTGCACGTGGCTGTCCAGTTTTCCCACCACTATTTTCTTAAGATACTGTCCTTTTCCCATTGTACAGTCTTGACTCTTTTGTCATAAATTAATTGACCACATATGTGTAGGTTATTTCTGGGTTCTATAGTCTGTTCTGTTGTTTGTATCTGTTTTTATACCAGTACCATACTGTTTTGATTATTGTAGCTTTGTAATATACAATTGATCCTTGAACATCACAGGTTGCTGGTCTTCTTATATGTGGATTATTTTCAATGGCAAATACTACAGTCCTACATGGTTCACAATTGGTTGAATCTGTGGATACAAAGAAACTGGGGATAAAGGGGAACCAAGTATATGGAGGGCCAACTATAACTATATATTTTCAACTGCACAGAGGGCCGATGCCCCTAATCCTGCATTGCTCAAGGGTCAACTAGTTTGAAATCAGAGACTGTGATGCCTCCAGCCTTGTTCTTCTTTCTCAAGATTGCTATTGACACAACATTGTAAACTGACTATAACTCAATAAAAAAAAAGATTGCTAGCTCGTTGTAATATTTAACTTATAAGTCTTGCTTTTTTAGCTTTGTTAGATTTATACTTAGTGTTTCATACTTCTGAGTGTTTGTAAATGGTTTTATATTTTTTATTTTGGAGCCCATGTTTTCATTGCTAACATATAGCTAACACATTGGTTTTTGTATGTTTATCTTGATTTTTGTGACCTTGTCATTTGGAAAAAGGGACAGTTTTCTTTCTTTCTTTTTATTCAGTATGCCTTTCATTTCCATTTCTTGCCTTATTGCACTGGTTAGAACTTCCGGCATGATGGTGAATAAGGGTTGTGAGAATGGACATCCTTGCCTTGCTCTTGGTCTTCAGTCTTTTACCACTGGGTATAATGTCAGCTATGGTTTTGTTCTTAGATGCTCTTTATCAAATTGAGGTGCTTTCTCTATTTCTATTTCTATTCAGGGTTTTGCAGGAATGAGTGTTAGGTTTCCTCAAGTGCTTTTTCTACACTGATTCATATGATCATGTGACTTTAAAAACCCTGTTAATGTGGTGGATTACATGGATTGATTTTTGAATATTGAACCTGTCTTGCATCCCTGGAATAAACCCCGGTTGGTCGTGGTGTAGAATTCTTTTAATATATTACTGAATTATATTTGCCAATATTTTGTCCAGAAATTTTGCCTCTATACTCATGAGTGATATTGGTGTGTAGTTTTCTTTTTTGTACTGTATTTGATTTTGTAAATGATAGTCAAAAATCTTCCTCTTCACGCTCTAAATAGTAGTGCTATTTGGAGGCTGATGATTCTGGGCAATGCATGGTGACTTTTTCCTGATCAGTACTTTACCCTCCTCTAACTCTTCCTTCCCAGATCTTCCAAAAGAGAGTTAGAAATGGCCACATCCCCAGCCAGTTTTTGTTGGTTCATTTATTTACTTGTTAATTTTGTTTTCCTGTGGTGTTTAGGAAGCTTCTAAATATAAATAGGATAAATATTAGGATAAAAGGAAGTTAACAGAAGAAAATATCAACACAAGTTTTAGAATGTAGGCATGTTGGCCAACAATTGTTTACAACTAGAAACTTTGAAAGTCTAAATTTATTGCTGATATTCTGACATTCCAGTCAGACATATGAATTACAATGCCCTCACAGAGAAATCGATAATTCCTCTCTAGTAAAGATTTCTTGATACTCGAGAGTCCAGAAATCTTTTGCTAGATCTCCATATGAATCATGGAAACCGTGTCTTCTATTATAACCTCGTCATAAATGCTATTACAGATCTCCTGTGGCGTTTTTCTTTTTAAAAGGATTTTTTTTCATTCAGTGTTTAAGTAAGATTAAAACCTACAAGATTTTGTGTCCAGTTAATGAGTAATAAGAGAAGGGCTGAATATGAATTATCATCTGATTGGATAATTAAAATGTGTCTGACCCAGAGTCAAATTACTCAGTGATATACCAGTAACTTTGTGTGGGATTAAGAGTTTTAGAGCAAAATACCTCTAAATAAAGCATGCTGTCTGAAAGCATAGGGATACTGTGTACATGAAATACTGCATAAGAAAGCTGATGGAAGCAAGTTGTGTCTTTAAACTTCTAACAGTTGGTTGCCATATGCAGGAACTTTATTTGTATTACTGTTTGATAATATAAATAATACAAGTATTTCTCAATTCTCTTGTTTTATTTTATGATGTAATTACTGCATGTATATGTTATATTTGGTGTGCTTCTTTCTCTATTGAGTGTTTCCTCTAAATTTTTTTTTGGTAATTAGGAAGGTTTATATTTTTATGCTGGGGGTTACCTTTGTGTTCATCCTTTTTATAGTACTCTTAGTCAACATTATTTTTTTTTAAAGTTACATATTTATTTATCAAATTGTATATATTTAAGGTGTACAACATGATGATTTGATATACATACACATAGTGAAATGATTACTACAGTTAAGTTAATTAACGTATCATCTCCTCACATAGTTACCATTTTTTGTGTGTGATGAGTATACACCAGAAATTTACTCTCTTACCATATTTCCATTGTTCAATACAGTATTATTAAGTATAGCCATCATGCTTGTACATTAGATCTCTAGACTTTATTCATCCTACATAAATGTGACTTTGTATTCTTTGAACAACATCTCCCCATTTCCCCCATACCTTTGGTAACCACCATTCTACTCTTTGCTTCTGAGTTCAATTTTTTTTCTTAGATTCTCCTATAAGGGAGATCATATGGTATTTGTCTTTCTGTCTTATGTCATTTAGCATAATGTCCTCCAGGTTCATCCATGTTGTTGCAAACAGCAGCATTTCCTTCTTTCTCATGGCTGAATACTATTCCATTCTATATATATACACCAGATCTTCTTTATCCATTCATCCATCACTGTACACTTAGGTTGTTTCTGTATCTTGGCTATTGCGAATAATATTGCAGTGAATATGTGAGTGCAGGTATCTTTTCGGGATAGTGATTTCATTTCCTTTGGATATATACCCAGAAGTGGGATTGCTGGATCATATGGTAGTTCTAGCTTTAATTTTTTGAGGAACCTCTACATTGTTTTCCATAATGGCCGTACCAATTTACCTTTTTCTTTCTTTGTTTGTTTCCTTTTGCGGGGGAGGGTAATTAGGTTTATTTATTTTTAGAGGAAGTACTGGGGATTGAACCCAGGACCTCATGCATGCTAAGCATGCACTTTACCACTTGAGCTATACCCTCCCCTTTACCTTTTTCTTTATTAATCTTTTACCATCTAATTTGTCTCTCATCTATTACCTATACAGCAGTCAATGATTTTATTCAGTTTCCCCCTTTTTCTTTCCCTGCTCCTCCCATATTTTAGTTGCATTTTTTTCCTACTTTGTCAGGACACTTAATGTTTATAGATTATCCTTTAACCTGTGACCCCAGCCTTGTTTTAGCCTTAGCTTTCCAGTTAAATATATGGAATGCCCACTGTCAGTCCTTTGGCCAAAATTTTCCCATTCACTGTTTTTGGTCAAAGCACATCATTTAGTATAGTGCTATCCAATAGAACTTCCCGCAGTGATGGGGATGTTCCGTATCTGTGCTGCCCAGCACTGTAACCAGCCATATGTGGTTATTGAGCATTGGAAATGTGCCTAGTGTGACTGAGAAACTGAATTTTTAATTTTATTCCACTCTAATTCATCAAAATTTGAATTTAAATAGCTACATGTGGTTAGTAGCGACCATATTAGACAGCACAACTCTAGCAAATTCCCTGAGAAGAACACACATATTTTGGCATATTTAAAACTTTGTCTAAAGGCCTTGACACTTGCAGGGTATCTTGCCTGGATATAATTTCTTTTGTACTTTGTTCCCTTAAGTTTCTTGAAGATGCCTTGCTTTGTATGTTGTTTTTGAGAAATTGATGTCAATCTAATTCTTTTGCCTGGAGACCCTGAGGAATTTTTTTCCTTGTCTTTAAATTCTAATAGTTTTATCAGGAGATTATCTCAGAGTTCCAGGTCAATTTTCCTTGGTACCCAGTGGGCCCTTTGATTGATTGTGTTGAAGTTTGTTTTATGATCCAGGATATGGTCTAGCTTGGTGAATATTCCACGTGTACTTGAAGAAACAGTTGATCTCTTAGTTTTTGAGTGGAATGTTCTACAAAGTCATTGGTTGATTGGTGGTGTTCAGTTTTTCAATAGCCTGGTTGATTTTCTGTCTATTAGTTCCTCTTATAAGTAAGAGAGGTGTTGAAAGTTGGCAGCCATATTTGTGGATGTTCCCATTTCTCCTTTCAGTTCTTTCAGTTTAGCTTTGTGTATATTGTTGTTTCCCCAGCAACTGGGACAGGTCTAGGCACATACTGTTAACTTAGTAGTCAGTTGTCTTTCCTTCATGAATTGAAAAATTAATACACTAGCAGGGCTGTTTGGAGTTTTCCTCCCCCAAAGGATAATATCAAGCAAGACAGAGTCAGGCGTCCGGTGCCCGCTAAACACTGGCCCTTGCCATCTGCCTCTACAAAGATTGGGTCACTAGCCACTGCAGTCGCTGACCTTCAACACACCCTGAAAGGAGCTCAGGGTCGAAATGAGAAATGAGGCACTCTGTGCTCTGGGAAAACTTCTCTGGCAGAACAGGCCTTCAGGTAGATATTTTCGGGAAAAGATTTTATGAGCCTAGTTTCTTGCATCTTCTTATATCTAGAAAAGCTTAAAACCATTAACGGAGACATCTGCTCCTCATGGTTAGCAGCAACCTTCTGCCAAAACGTGTGCTTGATGGCACGTATCCCCCTTCAGCAAAATCACATATGTACTGACCTCCCCCATCACCTCTTTGGAGCAGTGCCTCAGTGCTACCTGAGAGACTGTCACCCGGGCTATGCTCCTCATTTGGCCCCCAATAAAACTTAAGTCACAGCTCTCACACTGTGCATTTTTTTTTCCGCTCGACACCAGTGTAGCTTCTTCTAATCAATTGTCAACGGTGCTCTGTTGAAAGAATTAGTTCCCACACATCATTTCCACGCGTCCCATTCTGATCATTGCAGATTGTTGTTACAGGGATCTCTGTCATTCGAAGACGTGGCTGTGGATTTTACCCGACAGGAGTGGCACAGGCTGGACCCTGCCCAAAGGACCATGCACAAGGATGTGATGCTGGAGAACTACAGCAACCTGGCATCTGTGGGTGAGGATTATAGTCCTTGTAACTCCTGGTAGCACACGCTTCCTTTCTTGGTTGCTGTACTGTGTCCAGCCTTTGTAGAGTTCAATGACACTTTAGTTCTAGATTGAAGGCTCACAGACGATTTATCAGTTTGGGGCACCAGGAAGAGTGTGTGTGTGTGTTCTCACTTCCCCCAATGAAAGGTTTAAAGGGCCCCCTTCCTTGTGCAGCTCATGAAGATGCACCTTTCTCCTCCATCAGAGGCCCTAAAGCTCAGACAGCTTGGCCCACGTCCTGTGCCATTTCCCATTAACAGGCCTCTGCGTGGCCAAACCAGAGATGATCTTCAAGTTGGAACGAGGGGAAGAACTGTGGATATTAGAGGAGGAATCCTCAGGCCATGGTTACCCAGGTGAGTGAGCAAGAACTGGGCAGACAGAAAATAGGGGAATTAAGAGCTTAGGAATTCAGATCAAAGGTTATGTTCAGGCAGTGTTTTTCAGGAATCTCTTTTCAGAGGCCCTCGCTCTTTGAAAACGACTGGAGGACTTAAGGTCTATATGCTTTAGGTACCTAAATCCCACAATCCAACATCTTGCTCACACTGAAGTGCTGTCTCCTATTTTATCTTGATTCTTCTGGTCATTTACCACTCTTCTCTTTCCCTGCCTGCCTCAGCTTAGACATTTATTTTTAGCTAGTCTGTCTCCCTTTAGTGTTCTCAGTTGCCTTCCTTCCCTCCGTTGCCTTGGATGCCTTCTGTAATCAAGCACTCATTCCTACATTCATTCAGTCATCCACCAAATCTTAAATGAGGGTCTGCTGTACCCTGGTCGCGTTCTAGGTGTGGGGATCCGGTGGTGAATAAACTAATATCCAAGTTCTCTTGGAGCTTGCAGTCTAATGAGGGAAAGAGACCAGAAACAAACAAATACATAGTGTTTGGTGGAAAGAAAATCAGTGCGAGATAAGAAGGGTAGACAGTGATGGGGTTTGTGCTTTTGGGGAATGAGGTCAGGGAAGACTCTTTGGTGGAGTTAACTTTAGTGCGCCAACATCAGTGAAGTGAGAGAGTCAGAGCCACATGGAGTATTCTGAGCAGAGAGAGCAGTAAGTACCAGCCTGGTCTGAGTGATATATTGTAGGAATAACAAAGACGTTTGTGTGGCTTAAGGGTAGGTGGTGAGAGTCTTAAGAGGTGATATCAGAGAATTTTAGCTGGGGCCCAAGTTACGTAGTTTCACAGGCTCTGTTAAGCACTTTTATTTTATACTGTGACAAGGGGAAGCCTATGTTGGGTTTTGAGTGAGAGTGATCTGATCTGATTTGTTTTTAAAGGCTCTCTGTCACTGCTGTGTGCCAACAATTCTGTTGGTGGTAATGCCCTCAGTCATGATAATGACCTTCTTCAGCATCAGAAGATTCAAACTTTGGATCAAACTGTCAAATATAGGAAAGCCTTCTACAAGAGAACGGGCTTTGTTGGACATAAAAAAACACACACAGGAGAGAAAAACTTTGAATGTCACGAATGTGGGAAAACTTACTGCAGGAAATCAAACCTTATTGAACATCTGCGAATACACACAGGAGAGAGACCCTATAAATGTGGTGAATGTGCAAAAACCTTTAGTGCACGATCATACCTCATCGCTCATCAGAAAACTCACACAGGGGAAAAGCCCTTTGAATGTAACGAATGTGGAAAATCTTTTGGCAGGAAGTCACAACTCATTCTACATCGGAGAACACACACAGGAGAGAGACCCTATGAATGCACTGAATGTGGGAAAACCTTTTCTGAGAAGGCAACCCTCACGATCCATCAGAGAACTCACACAGGGGAGAAACCCTACGAATGTGGTGAATGTGGGAAAACGTTTCGTGTTAAGATATCCCTTACGCAACACCAGAGAACTCACACGGGGGAGAAACCCTATGAATGTGGTGACTGTGGGAAAAACTTCCGTGCAAAAAAATCCCTAAACCAACATCAAAGGATTCACACGGGGGAGAAACCCTATAAATGCGGTGAATGTGGGAAATTCTTCAGAATGAAGATGACTCTCAGCAATCACCAGAGAACTCACACAGGTGAGAAACCCTATCAGTGTAACGAATGTGGGAAATCTTTCCGCGTGCACTCATCTCTCGGGATACATCAGCGAATTCACACAGGAGAGAAACCTTATGAATGTAATAAATGTGGCAACGCCTTCTATGTCAAAGCACGCCTCGTTGAACATCAGAGGCTGCATTCAGGAGAGAAACCCTATGAATGTAGCGAATGTGGAAAAATCTTCAGTATGAAGAAATCCCTTTGTCAACACCAGAGAACTCACTCAGGCGAGAAACTTTATGACTGAAGTCAAGGGAGAAATGCCTTCTATGTGAAAGTATGCCTCAGTGACATAATCTTTGAATGTCAAGAATGTTGGAAAGTCTTTGGCCAGAAAACCAACGTCACAGAACATCAGAGAACTCACGGAGGCCAGCCCTTGCCTTGTACTATGGAGGAAGCTTCTCTAAGAAGACTCCTGTCACCATTTGACCAAGCCCTTTGGGCCATCTGATTACCGGGGCACACATAGTGCACCTGTAACAATTTGGCTCCTACACTGGTGTGGAAATTGATTCGATCCCCTTAGGGAATGGCTCGTTTTCATTCCATTTGGATTTCCCTAATTAGTGGTGAGGTTGAACATCCTCCAGCTGTTGACTGACCATTTGTTTTTATTTCTTCTGTGCAATAACTGTTCATAGCCTTTGCTCATTGTTTTCTAATGGGCTGTTTATCTTTTACTTCTTGGTTTAAATGTTGTTTTTGTTGTTGTATTTAATATATGAGAATATAAAAATCCTTTTTTCGGTCATGTGTGTTGCAAATACCTTCTCTCAGACTGTGACTGGTTCTTTAATTTTGCTAACTCTTTTGCTGAGGTTTTTTGGGGAGGGAGGGGAGGTAATTAGGTTTTATTTATTTATTTAAAAAAATTTTTTTTAATGGCGGGACTGGGGATTGAACCCAGGACCTCGTGCATGCTAGGCACGCACTCTACCACTGAGCTATACCCTCCCCACTGAGGTTTTATGTTTTGGTGTTAGTTTCAAGGTGATAATAATCTCCTATACCCTTCTCTAAAGTGAAGGTTTTACTTTGAACATTTTTTTTCTCTTATAGTAATGCAATCTATATGGTTTTATAAAGCTGCTTTGAGTTCCTGAAAGAGGAACTAAAAGAACACAACGTGTTGCTGCTTGCTTTGGCAATTACCTTTAAGTCAAGTCTTTGGAGCCTGGAGTATTACAGTAACATTTCCAGCGGGAATAACAAAGCACAACCACTCCATGCATAATTCATACCAATTCATACTTAATTGCTCTGGGAACTCTCACTGCTTGAAGAATGGACGTACTTCCAGATCATTCGCCAGAGGGAGGAAATAAATCCCCAGGTGGAAATTTCAGATTTTTCTACATTATACTGTACAATCAAAATAATACCTGGAAACCTGTGGGTTGTGTTTTTGGAGCAATGATGGAAACCCGTTTCTCTAATATACTAACAGTGGGTAAAATAAGAAAGTTACATACTAGGTGTCTGTGTGTATGTTTCTCTCCCTCAGGGTGTTTGTTTTCATCCTTCCCTCAGTCTGTCTTTTCATCCTTTTATCTTTGCCTGTCTCTTTCTCACCATAATTTCCTCTTCACAAATCATGTTATGGAGACTTTTTTTTTTATCACGTGTGGTGGCCACTGAATATAGTTTTGTCATATCTTTTTGGCTTAAGAAAAAAAAAAGGACCCCTATTTGTCCTGCCTTCTGCATCCCGGATCAACCTAGGGTGTGTCTCCCCAGCCACAATTCAGAAAAGAGCTCAGGAGGCTACATTTGCAGTGAAAAAGCATCAGAAATGGCAGAAGCAGCTCAGTCCTTCACAGACCGGCCCCCTTTCCCTCTTTGATACTGCGTGGCCAAGGGGTATATCTCTGATGATTCTTTCCAGCTGGCTTCAGGTTTTATAGCCCTTCTGTTCTGAAACTCCTCTGCCAGTCTCTTCTGTAACCAATGGCTTTGACTTCCAGCCTAAGTTTTACAAAGGAATGTTTCCCCAGGATGCAGGATGTCTGGAGCCAGAAAGGGCCATCACAGGCTAATGAGCCTGTCATGGCCGAGCCTCTGGGTCTCGGTGGCATTGGGTGCTGTGTCATTAAGAATCACATCTGCTCTCCTACTGGGAAGCAGTTCTCGAGTTCTCTGGACAGTTCTTGGGTCAGTCACATCAGCAGGGCACAGAAAAGTTGCTCCTTCCAGGGGTAATATGTGAAGATCTTCCCCAAGCACGAAGCCAACAGGAGCACTGGGATCTGTGCCATGCCAGGAGCCGCCTACAGTCTAACACCCGGAGGCCTGGCCGCAGGCTCTGGTGCCTCTAATTCAGCTCCAAGAGCTGCAAGGTGCTTCGACACCAGTAATTCTCCGCCTTCACAGCCTTCACAGCCTTCACAAACCAGCCCTTCAAATGTTGTGTCAGCCACAGATGCTAAGCGCCAGTGTGACCCTTGTCGCAACTCCCAGCGGTGTGGAACCTTTGATGCTGAAGAGAAGCCCACACCAGCTTCAAGGACGTGATACAAAGTTTCACTGGGCTCTGAAAGACTTGGACAAAACCCCAGGAGGACAGGTCCTTGCCTCGCTTAGTTCCATGACTTCGGCGGCTAGCACAGGGTCTGACCCAACTGTCACAATTCTTAATAAAATCGACCTCAACCTGTGTGTAATTGAAGGGCAATTTCCAAGTCTCTGTGGAAAAGTGGGGTTTTTAAACAGTTTATCAACTGCCATGAGCTATCCACACCTCCTTTCATGTAACTCTCAGAACCACCCTACAATGTAAGCTCTATATCCATTTTCTGATGAAAACAAAACAAAACAAAACAAAACAAAACAACTATCACTATCCCTGTGGCTCCAGGCTGAAGTTCCTTCAGTGCAAAAGCCTGCTGATGAGATTTGGAGGCAATGTTATCAGGAATCGATGCTTTCAAAAGCCGTAAGGAGTCTCAAGGGGAGAGGGCATGGAGTGGTCCTGGGCGTCAGAACTAATTCCAGAGGTGGGTGGAGGGGCGGAGAGTGGAGATACACACCCCAAATCCGCCCCATTTGGGCAGCTGACCTCCAGCCCCATCCCGTGTCGTGGATTCAGCCCCATCGGCCTCCCCGTTCTCGGAAACCCGTGCCACAGGCTTCGGGCCTGCGGCGCCCACCTCCCTTGCCCCCTCCTCGTTCCAAGGCCCTCCACCTGCAGAGCCCACCTCACCTGCGCCTTTCCAAGGCCCTCTCCAGCTCTCTGTCTGACCGTCGCTCCTCTGGAGCCTTGGCCAACTGTTTACTTCACGTTGGCAGTTCTCACCTAGTCACCTAGCTGGGGCTGACCGCGTCCGGGCCTGGACGAGCTGGGCCCCTGAGCCCCCTTTCGGCCTGGAGACCTGGGGCCGGCCCCTGGCCACTCCCCCCCCCCCACGCGTGCAGTAGGTGCAACATAAATGCCCACCGCCGCGCCCACCCACCGCCCCGCTGGCCGCCCGGCTCACCCGGCCATGGACGCCATCCTGCTCCAGACACCGGAAGTGCGGGCTCACTTCCGGCTCCTAACTTTCAACATTTACGATTTTAATCCACCCTAAGTTTTTTCTGTATAATGTGAAGTCTGCAATATATAATGCTGTATTTCCTTTAAATCCTTTACATCATATTGTTTTTAAAGTCATGAGGCTTGCTTTTTTTCATAGAATGTTACCTTTCCAAAATCTATCCATGTTGATAAATATAGGTCTGGTTTATTTATTTCTCTCTCCATTCCCCTAGTGAAAGATGTTTGTATCGTTTCTGTGCTTAGTGTTTAAATCTAGAAGTGGCAACGATGGGTCATAGGGTGTAGGCAGTATGCCAGTTATTAAGCTATTGTGCCCCAGCTCCAAACCCAACCTTCTATACTGTGCTTCGTGATGCTGTGGCCATGACTCTAGAAAACACATTTCTGTCTTGTCAGCTGCTGCTTCCTGTTGGACCTTGCCCATAAGAGATACTCAAAATGACTGTTGAGCCTGGGGAAGGAAAAAGGGACATGATCCTTTTTCCCCCTTCCTGTTGGCTCCCTGTTCATCTGATTGTCAGCCCAGCATTCCTTCTTCACTTGGGTAGCAGCCATTCCTCATGTTAGCAGCAATTTAATCTAGTTTTCAGTTTTCCAGCACTAACAGCTTTATGGTACCCCCCCCCCGGAGACACTAGCGATAGCTGGCTGGTGCCACCTCCTTAGAGGTATGAGTCCCAGTCACAGGAGACTCTGCTTCCAACCTTCTATGTTTAAATTCCGGTTTCTTCCCTTGTTACCCTAGCCCAGCTGCTTTCTGCAGTTGCTATCTCCATAATAATTTTAATGTTCTCCTTTTGTCTCTTAAGTTATATGATTAATAACTTCATAACTAGTTAAAAATTCATTATAATAAGTTCTCTCTGTTAAAATAACTGGTATGGTTTCTGTCTCCTAGCTGGGTTCTGATTGATACAGAAGTTTTTCAACTTGACTAAATATTGAAGTTTTAAAAAAAATTGTACTAGTTTACACTGTCACAAGCAGTTTGGGGAAAAGTTTACATTTTCACGCATATTCACCAGGACTTATTCTCTGTTGTTTTTTAAGTTGTTGTCAATCTGAAAGGTGTAAAATGGCTTTAGGCCCTTCCATCCATGAATGTGGTGTGTCTTTTTATTTTTTTAACTCATCTTTTTAATTTTAAATAGTATTTTATGGTTTTTTCCAAGAAATTGTCTTTGAAAGTTAATCTTTTAATAGAAAATTTGCTCAGATACATGTATATACATACATTAAAAATGTAATGATGTATTATGGGGTATATATATTTATATGTAATATACATGTGTGTATCTATATGTATGTATCTAAGTGTGTGTGTGTGTGCACCTCCCCAGAAAACACTTTTGTTTTATATGTTTATTTCATTTTATCCACCTATTCACCACTTTGGCTAGTCTTCATTCCTTTCTGCGTTTCTTCCAGGATCCTTTTCTTCTTTGCCTGAAAAATACCCTCCAGAGTTTCCTTTAGTGGAGGTCTATATAGTGACAAAACTCTCAACCTTGTGAATGTTTTCTCTTGTACTTTTCTTGATAAGCAAAAGTGAATTCTTCACCTTTAGTACTTGGTAGCACTATGCCATGGTACACTGATGTTAAATTAAGTACTTGTTTTGCTTTTTTTCCCCTGAACATTCCATAATGATTATGACTACCCAGGGTATTTGAATTAATCACCAGATGCCCCCCAATACAGCATACATTTGAATATATATATATTACACTTTCTGCACTTTGTATATAGCATGCCGTCACCCTCATTTACTAAGTGTTAGTTAAATTTATCAAGATGCCATCCCATTAGTTCTTCCAATCTGCAGTTCATCCATTAAGAAAAATAAATTTGATACTTTAAAATTCTTCTTATTATGGAAAATATCAAACATAAATAAAAGTAATCTATTGTGACAGAAAGCAGATCAGTGATTGTCTCTGGGGTAGGAATTAACTCATAAGAGGTAAGAGGGAACTTCCCAGGTGATGGAAATATTCTGTATCTTGACTGGAGTGTGTGTGGATGGGGTTACACAATTACACAATAGTTATCAAATGAGTAAACCTAAGATTTGTGCAGTTTATTGTATGTAAATTAAGTCTCAATTAAAAAACAATAATAAAAAATTCCCCGTTCCCATACCAGGAGTCAGATGCGGGCTGCCTGGGAGAAAACCAAGAGTCTCGACTGCTAGATCAGATGAAAGACACTGGCAATGGGAGACTGATCCTCCCAAGGCTTTAGAAATGGTTTTGCTCCACGAACATGACCTTCACTAAGGTCTCATGATGGGTTGTGCTGGCCCTCCATTAGCTACCATCCTACCATCACTTATGTGGTGATCCCTACTGGCCAACACTACTGAGTGTGTTTGCCTTCCAATAGCCTAAGTGCAGTCTCTCCTGATCCTCCATTTGCTAACCATGACGCAGTTTTTACCCCCACGACATGTCAGCACCATGTCTACTAACACCTCGTTAGCTTATAGCAGTTCTTATCACTGCCTTTAGTCAAGAGCACAATGTCTGCTGATCTACCATTAGCTCACCGCATCTTGTCTTATCACAACTCTTTGTTGCAACAGTCTGCTGACCCCCATTAGCCCAGAGCATCATGTCTCACCACCCCTTTTAGTTGCCATTACAATTTTTGCTGACACTCATTTGCTCACAGCATAGTGTCTTTTCACTCCTTTAGCCTCCAGCTTAGTGACTGATGATCTTCTATTAATTCAGTATTATGTCTTTTTGCCCTCCTGTAGACTCAGCCCACTGACTACTGACCTCTTGTTCGTTCCCAGCGATGTGTCTTATCACCTTTCTTTAGACCTAATGC